TTATCATGAAGTCTATCTCTTGAAATGTAGAATTGTGTGTTTATTTTTGGAGCATAGCATGTGAAGGTACATGTATACGTATTTGCGTTTGTCTCATGCGACGGGTTGAAGAAAGATCGAAATACAGCTGCTGAGAATCTTTTTCTAAGTTTAAATGTAATGTTACTGTGATGGGATAATTTCAAAAATTTACCACAAAACGTACTACAAAAAAGACAAAGATAACACAGAACAAATGATCTGAGAAATCTCTGAGTGTACCGTTTGTAGCACTACTTCGATTTTAGCAAATCGAGGCATGTCACGTGTAATTTGAAACCTCTTGCTTTTACACACATCAAAAGTTTTTTGCAGACTTGATACATACGACAGCAACCTAACGTTTTTAAAAGCAAGGGGAAACAGTCATGATTATAATACTGATCAAGGTTCTTCTAAGACTTGCAGATTCATTTGACATCATTTTTAGACAAGAAACTTCATCTGCACTACAGCGGAAGTCACAGAAGTGAATTTCAAGTGCTTGTTTGTTTACTTTTTATCGGCGGGCATTTTTTGCCTAAAGCTGACGATCAAACATTTTACCTTTTCATTGCATTAAAGCACAAAAAGAGCAGGGAATTTTGTGGTTTGTTCACTGAAAGTTGGCATGGAGGCTATCCAATAAAAAATTAAATTTATACAAGAGTTATATTTTCAAGGAAGGTTTTGTTTTACTTTAACATGTTAATCTGTGTCAACTTGCACACTATTGTGTCATTGATCACACTTGACTAAAACAAAGGGTTAGCATGCCAAATACACTGAAACAAAACATAGTGTGTCATTGATTGCTTCAGCAATTAAATATGCACATAAACTGTGTGTCTTTGGACACACTAAGTGTGTTGTGTTAGCGTGTTGTGAACGTGTCATCACCTTTGTCCTTGAAATTATTCGGAGGGTCACATATTATATTTGCTGCTCCTTGCACCTCCTCTGTACCTCCAACTCTCACTTCCCCCTTCCTTGCCTTAATATCCCTTCCCTGTCAATGAACTGACTCCCCGAATTTGCAAATTATTATATGAAACACATTACATTGACACGCACTTCCTTGAGCACACACTACAATAATAATATTTTACATTAACTGCTGCATTCATCACTAAGATGTTATAAAACAATTAGTTCATGCTTCAGTCGTGCATATTTCAAGAGGCTAGAGTTGCTTTCGGCTGCACCTCAAGCAACTCTTACACTCTCTTTTGTGCTCTCTTAACTTCCTGCATACTCAATATCTCAACACTGATGCATGAACTAATTGTGAAATGTTGGAGATGATCATATACAAGCGAAGTAGTCGGAAATGGAGGTTTGACTGTAATATTCATTTTATGAATGTGTATTCCCAGAAATTCCATGCAAATAGAAATATTGCAAACAATATCAAATTTAAGATTGATGAAAGTTCAGGAGTTTAAAGCGAAAAACACTTTCACTTTAAATTTCCCGCTTCAAGCATTAATTTACGGGGCAGTGTAAAATGGAGACTGCGGACTGACTGCCGACTATTGTTTTTAGGGTTAGAAAACAGTGGGACTATTGTTGTCACCTGCTCATTTGCATGGTGAAAACAATAGTCCGCAGTCTGTGTTTTACACTGACCGTTAATTTACTGAATTAATTAAGAAAACAAACATTCCATGTTTACTGAAACTAAACTTTCAGACAAGGAAAACTCTTCTTAAAAGAATATAACAAAAAATTTTCTTTATATATAAAGGGAAAATAAATAAAAGCTTACCTGTACGCATAAGCCGAATCCTAGAATTAAATTTTAAAGCCACGATGTGGTTTCATGGACACAGAGCAAAACGTGGTCAACATTCCAGTGATTTGCAGCTACACCGGCGAAATAATTTGCCCACAATTGCCACAGAACGAGGAACGTAATATTTTCACTGGTAGTAATAATAGAATAGTCCATTTTCAGGACGTTTCGCCCACAAACTTTACCATTTTCTCCTCATTTTCGATGATCATGGCTGCCATTACACAGCACAATGGGCTCTCGTTCCCAGAATCTTTGCGGCACTAGATTTCCCGCGAAAAATGGGTTCACCCGGGTATAAAACGGCAAATGACCACACCTACAAGTCGACCTCTCATAAGTTACGAATACTGTATTTGAAGTCATTTTTGCTCCTAAATAAATTTCTATTGTTTCGAGAATTTTTAAAAAGGCTTTAGATCTTTGAGGGAACAGATGTCATGACGTCAAAGCAAAAACTGACGTTACACACTTGATGAAAGTGGATCATCGCGGCACTCTCTGCTTTCAAAACATTGATTTCGACTCTGACATGGCGCACGCGAAATATCTTTTAATTTTGTCAGGTACCTGTGTTGCAAGGAAAAAACAGATCACACCAGTTCTATCAGTCAAAAGTATTTGATGGGCGACGGAAAACACACTGAACACAAAGAAATATATCCGTCCTTTAAAAAAAGTAAAGATTCGGGTTTGTGAAAAGACAGCGAAATCTGTCATTAATAACGTCTCAGCCTACTCGACTGACTCGATTACACCCGTTTCAGATTAAGAGAAGGTTATCGCTTTCTGATTCGATGTCACAGTAGGGTCAAAACAAAGGTGTATGTTATTGTTCGATTCTTCACCGACGGTAATTTTTATCAGTGTTTTTATAAGGCTCATCGCGTATCAACGGCGCTTTTCAAATTAGCCCAAAAAAGTTTTTTCGATCGGGCAAATTATCGATTAGTTTCGGTTCTGATCGCCAGCTGTTTCAGAAGCAAGGACTTCTTATGGTCAAAACCAATGAGATTTGCTAGATAGCGTCAAGGCTGTTAATCTACATGCATATGTATATTCCATGATATTCGGTTTTCAAGATCTTGTTTTAGTCCAAAACCCGGTGAAGCGATAGTGTATTTTTATCGCTGAGTACACTCCATTAATTAATTCCTTGAACTCAGCTTCCCGTGAAGCATGAAATGAAGTGTTAATTTTCCAAGACTTGATCGTTATAAATTTCAGCCAGAAAATCTCTTGACGAGCCCACCCACTACCCGAAAACGCGGTCAGCAAACTGCCCACGCATTGGTCTTGGGTTATCATCACGCCAAATAAAATGACTCGACCAAGGGTCATCGCTCGGCAGGAAATTGTATGCTGTGATGTGCTTCGATCTCGCCAACAACGCGCTCTTAGGTTAATAAAATCAAGACCATGGAAAGCGACTGTCCACGAAATTCGGAGGAAAATCTAGCCATGATCGACGGATCTGATGTAGAAAGAAGGTTTCTTGAGGAGAAGGCGGAAATTGTTCGAGGATTTCTGCAGGCCGGAGAGAGAGATTGTTGATCGCGCCCACGAAGACGAGAAAAATGATATGCGTTTAGCTTTTGAAGTGGAGAAGGAAAACATGAGAAAAGCCTTTGAATGTGAGAAAGAAGAAATGCGACAGAATTTCTTAAAAGAGAAAGACAACATCCGCTTGGAATTTCAGGAATCGAGACATGTTTTCAAGCTGTCTTTCGAAGACGAGAAATCTGCGTTGATAAAATCATGGGATCGTGAAAAACAGACTCTTCTTGACAATTACATCAAAGAGAAGAAGGAATTAAGAGCGCAATTTGAGCGACTTTTGAGGGAGAAAGAGGAAGGATCCGAAAAGGCTGAAATGGAAGCGAAGATTCGCAAAGAGCTTGAGGGAATCGAGCCCGGGCGGGGGGGGGGTACTCCCGTATATGGGCTTTATAGGTACGTGCCGCGGAATAGGGTATGGTTTTTGAGGTTCTCGGTCCTTAAATAGGGTATCTTTTTTGACCCTTTTGTTTCTGTGTCCCTGGTGTGGTCCTTAAATAGGGTAGCTTAATTGTATTATCTAATACTGGAGTGTGAAAAAGCCCGCCTAAACGAACATTTTTTTTTTTTAAACTAGGCTTATTCAAGTATTTTATGCTTGATGCTATACATCCAATGTTACAGAGAAGAAATAAGGTTTTCTTTTTCATGCTATTAATAATTTTGTTTTTTCCTTGAATAGGGTGTCATTTTTCGGCTTTCGGCCTTAAAAAGGGTATTAGTTTTCGCTTTCTTAGTCCTTAAATAGGGTTAGGGTTCACGAACCTTCGCGGCACACCCCAATCCAAAATTCGCGGGAGTACCCCCCCGGGGGATCGAGGAAGTAAAAAATGACCTGAGGCGGACATTGTCGCAGGGCTTGGGCGATCTGGAGAATGTTTACTTCGAGGAGAACGCGTATCTCGAGACCCTCTATAATCACGAGCAACCAGAGGTTGATATGCACTTTAAAAGTATATTAGATGCCGAAACGAGCCTGGATAAAGAGGAGCTGTTGAAATCGCTCAAACAAGAGAAGACCAAAATGCATTCTCACTACGCCAATAAGCACAAGTTAGTAGAGCACCAGTTTGCGTTGGAAATCGTTGACATGGAACAGAGGTTCAAACAGCAAAAGAACGATTTGATGAACATTTTTAGAAGGGAAAAGTCGGACATGGAAGAGAGCTTTATTAAAGAAAAGGAAGACATCAGACGCAAATTCGAGGTGGAATTTCGCAGAATACTTCAGCAACAGAGGTTGAAATTCGAGTCGGTAATACAAGGTTACGAGCACGACATCTCTGTTTTGAAATATCAAAAAGAACAGCTGGAAAAGTGTTTTTCCTTAGAAGTGCAAACATTGAAATTAAAATTCGACCACGAGAAGCTCGAAATTGAGAACAGGTTTAAAAACGAGAAGAAGGACCTTAAGAGGGTTTTGAAAGGGCAATACGAGAGAAAGCTGAGTGGGGATAAACTCCGGCTTGAATGGCTACTAGATCAGATTCAGCTTGGAAGAAGAGCAAGCACTGATCAATTGGACTCTAATGATTCGGCGCTTAGCACAAGTTCTATTTATTCCGATTAATCTTTACAGAACATGCTGATGAAGTGCCGGGAAAACTGAACAGGTTTTGAGTCAAATGTAACTTCTCAAGCACCTCAAAACAAATAGACAGTTGATAAGGTGAACATGCCTCTGTCGATTTCTACTCGCGTGACTAATATACTCGGTCTTTCACAAATAGTCGCTTAATTAAAACGAGCTTCTCCCTGAACAAGGCGATTGTAGTGAGAGGCTTGTTGGCTAATTATCAAGAACAGGCAAAACAAATCTAAAATGTTGTGTCACTCTAACAAATACAATTGTACAGGTTTTTAAATTTATTATTTCTATATTTTGCTATTCAGTTTCTCACTAATAGTTTTTTTTCCGTTCGCAAATGACATTAAGCGCCTTACCTGCCAAATGAGACCGAAACAAGAAAGAAATAAAATAAATTACAATAGAAACTAGAAAAAGCCACATAAAATTAGATAATGTATTATATAATCATTATTCTAGTGCAGTAGTAAAATTTTGCTTTTTCGTTTGCTGTATGATCCTAGAAACACTGGGATGCGGCAGCGTGAAGAGAATATCTCGCGCTGTATTAAAACAAAGGAAGAATTATTTCAGCAGTTATATTATCAGCATGAGTGACATTAATAATTGATGATATTCGTATGGAATATAACTCAGACTCTCTGGACTAGCCGCAAAATAACAGGAGATTGGCTGAATAGAAGTGAAGACTGATTTCAGATGGTAAAAATAAAACATAGTGCCGAGGATGTAACTTTATACCTTTTTGCAGAAGATCTTAAATAAACTGTATACTGCGAATATATATTCAGTGAATTTAATTTTAGCGCAGATGTTAGTAAATACTACTAATTTAGAATACACGTGCGCTGGATTGAATTTTGGTCAAGGTGATTTATGATACCCACCTCGTTTAATGCAAGCTGGTCACACTATTCAGGTAGAAACTTCATTTTTTTTATGAGGCGGACAAGTTCATTTATTTTCTTACTCACGAATCGAATCAGAATCGACCACGACGTTAGTAACCAAAGCTACGAATACAAGGCTAAAGCAACAAACTTTTCAACCAACTGAAACAAAGAAATCCTTAAATCTCTACTTTATAACTTTAGGAGCCTTCCATTCACCCTCTGATCAAGGGGTTGCGTGATTTAAAGAGGGAAAAAAATCCCTCTTGAAAACACATTCACCATTGTCACATTGCCCTTAATACACCTTGTTCACCACGACCATTGTTTCCAATTTCACAGGCGGGAGGGGGGGTGGGGGGGGGGGGGGGA